ATATCAGGTTTTACAATTTCAGCTCTTAGCAATTTAATGAATGCTGGAAGAACCAAAACTAAACTCACCCTCGGATTCAAAGATATACTCTTGCATCCAGACAAGTTACTAGATGCTTTCTACGACATCCTGTTACTGACAATTGCGTTTACAGTTAGCATCATATTGGCAATGGCTTCGTTGTGGCCGATCATTAAGGACCAATCGTTTTTTTTTACCAGACACTTCTGTTTGCAGGAGTGGCTTCTTTCTTTATTAGTTTTGGTTATATATTGAAGGACAAGGTGCCTAAATTCTGGTTAAGTGCTGCAGAATAGCATTCCAAGCTTTTGGTTGGTGTGAGGGTATGGCTTTTCTCTTGTCCTCTTGGCTGTCACAATATCAAGTGCAGCACATCTTCTTCTTTCTGTATTTCACCGTATGGGTTAAATTTACTCGTGCTCTTATACTTTATATCAAATCTCACTTTGTTGTATGATCTTTTAATTGTTCCAATCAATTCCTAGACTTCGTATCAAGTTGCAATTGAGCCCGATCTCACTGTTTTGAAAAATGACGGAGAAATTAAAGAAAAAAGACTAAAGTGGGAATTTCGATAAAAGTATATGGGTGTTTAAGACTAGAGAAAAGGGGGCTGAAATGAGATTTTGGTAAAAATGCATAAGTACTAACTGTAATTAATACTATCATGCGACGATTCTCCGTTAGTTTTCGAAACGATGTTATAGGAAGGGACTCAATTGCCACTTGATTCAAAGTTCAAGAGGTCGAAACAGTAACAATTTTAGGAGACAAAGTGGGATTTGATGTAAAGTATACGGTTGTGAAATGAAATTTACCCTTTCTAAAATAATATTTTTATAAGTTTCAAATTAAATTTTACATCTTAAGATTATCTGAAGAGGTTTTTTTTCCACTTCAAATTTGTCATCTTGGTAATTTTTTTTGAATTTTATGTAATTACAAAATAATGTGCCAATAATTTCTGTAATTGGGGCACAAATTATTGTGTGCTTAGCAAACAATTGTGTTGCTAGTCTTTTGAGACTAATCAGTTGTTGTTTGAATAGTAAAAATTCAAATGATTCCTTTCTTAAGTTTTATTCCTTTGTGGGGTAATGGTTCACTTCCAAAGGTTAAGTTCTTTGGTTGGTTGGCATGGAAGAGAAGAGTGAAAACAACATCATACCTTCAAAGGATAGGAGTTCTGGATTCCAACGTTAACAATCTTTGTCCATTTTGTAGGGAGGAAGCGGGATCTCTTAATCACATACTTTTATTTTGTCCTTTGTTATGGAGGTTGTGGTCTGAAATCTTGGACTGGTGGAATTTATCTTGGGTTATACCTGGGTCTATTGGAGGCCTCTTGGAGTGGTGGTCTAGTATGAGGTTCAATAGATTTGAAAAGAGGTTATGGCAGTCTATTCCTTTCACTTTCATGTGGTCTATGTGGAAGAGCAGAAATGAGTGTGTTCCAAGGATTTCATCCAGATTTCAAGGGACTCGGGGAGATTATTAAAATCAGAAGTGCTTTTTGGTTGAAATATAGCACAGTAGGTGTGCCTTATTCTGTCCAAGATGTGGTTTTCAATCTACAACAATTGAGATTTTGTTCAAGAAAATAGACTTAGTGTAGATATCTGGGATGATATATGGGTTGTGAGGGTGGGTTGGCTAGGTATGGTGTCTGATTTATCTTATCAGTTTGGTTAGGTGTCATAGTGGATGCTTTGGTGCTTTGTGTGTGTGTGTGGGTGCTCTTGGTTTTTTGTCTAGTGTTGTTGTCTTGTTTTGGTTATGTTGGTTTCTCATCAACATCTTATCTTGAGCTTACATTTGATTGGGTGTCTCTCTTGGTGCCAACTTAGTTGGGATTAGCATGGGATGCTTGGTTAATGTTACTCTTGGTCTTTTCTTTATTGATATTTGCTCATATGTAATATATGTTTGTCATTATCAATAAAAAAAAGTATGTTCGGTTTCAGTTTTCTGAATTCAATTTTTGAAAATTAATTTTTATTTATTTTTTTTTTGTTTTTTGTTTTTGTTTTTAGTGAATAATTTTAAAATTTTAACTTTTTTTTTTATTTTTTTAAGATGAACCTTATTTAGATGTACCTAAATAGTAAAATATTTATGAAAAATATTTTAAAAAATTAATAAATATACAAAAGTACAAAAAATGTACTGAATTTTCATAATTTTTTTTTATATTTTTGGTATTTAGTGAATTTTTTAAATAATTTTTTTCACAAATATTATACTTTTTAAGTATATTTATGTTATGTGCGTCTAAAAATTAAAAAAATTGCTTAAACTATTAAAAAAATTTATTGAAAACAAAAAAAAATATGAAAAATAAAAAAATAGAATTTTCTTAAAAGTGTTTTCTGGAAACCAAAACCAAACAAGCAGTTTGTTTTCCTTGTATTTTCCCTTTTATTTCATACTAACGTAAAATCTGTGCAAATAATAAAATGTGATAAATAATACTAAATAAGTTAAAAATTAATTAAATATTATTATATTGAATTATATGGATATTTCAATAATAAATTTGAATGATTTCACTGTATTTATATAGATATGTAGAACTAATTAATTTTTTTGAAATACACTTAATCAAATAAACTCAATTGAAATTAAAGAGTAAGAGTGAAATTCTATAAATATAAGATAAAGATAAAAATAAAAAAAAATAAAGTTTAAATTTGAAGATAAATATAGAAAGAGAAAATTAAGTAAATTTTCTAAAAGGAATATACTCAACCGAAAATCAAGAGTGAGAATAGATTCTGTAAGTATAAAATAAAGATAAAAAAAAATCAAATTTAAATTTGAGGATAAACTATAAGAATATAGAAAGAGAAAATTAAATAAATTCTAGAAAAATGAGACAGAGAGAAATTCAATGAAAATTGAAAAAAGAAAAACAACTTGAAATTTAAAAATTCAAAAATAAAATAAGATAAATCTGCAAGAAAAAAAAATCTAATATAACTCTAATAATAGAGGAACAGAGGGTAATAGTTTAAAAATTGGAAAAGATTGAAATGTCACCTATAATTTTTTATAATTTGTTAAAAAAAAAAAGCTCAAAAATAAAAATTAAGGTGTAGTAAGTTAAAAATTAGATAAGAGTTAAATGACGACTATAATTTTTTAAAATTTAAATTTTGTGTAATTAAAAAATAAACATTTATAATATCTTATCATACAAATTTTTTTAACTCTATTTTGTGTCTACTACTAATAATTTTAATAATTTTTATATTCTAAAGATATTTAATAAATAAATAAATTCAAGGGATCACCTTTTTATTTTTTAATTTTGTTTTGTGTCAATAACTTATAAATTTCAGCAATTTTTGTATTTTGAAGCTATTAAATGTTGTTGACTCAAATCTTGTTGACCTTTGATCCATTTTGCTTTGTTGTCACTTCTTTTAGGTCTCCAATTCTAGGTGGCTTTTTGAATGCAAATATAGTTTATTAGAAGACCTTTACAAAGTGCTTGCCTACTACTAAATGTTTGTGACTTTACTGTGTGTATATATATACACATATAAATTTTCCTATGTATATGGTGATCTCATGTGCTCTGTCTTCATGTTGATTCCTTTTCATTTTTGATTTAAATGTAGTGCCTCTGTTCAGCTTCTTTCTTAATCATAATGTTTTAGAGATAGTTTACACTAATCAGAGTATATTTTTTCTTTCTTCTTTTTTTTTTTCTTTTTCTTTTCATAGAGGAGGCAATAATTGTAATACAACACTCTGAAAATGGCAAACATAGCTGGGCCTTATGTCAAAGTTACAATTAACTTCTTAATTGAAATCTCATACTCACTGTGATTTATTCCTTCCTCTACGATTCATTCCTTCATATATAGCACCATGTTCTGAGATTAATGAACCATCTTTTCATCTTCTAAAGTTCATGACCCTTTCCCATTGTCAAGCATAAGGTTTTTATTTTTAGCTGCTCTGTTACTTCAATTGGTATTGATTTTTAATAACCTTAGTTTTTGTTCTATTTATTATTTATTTAAAGGAAATGGTTAAGTTTTATCAACTTAAGCACTAACTAGGGACAAAATCATCTATTATTGCCAGCTGAAGCAATGAAATTTTAGTATATTGAAGTTGAGGCTTTTGTATTATTTTGGGATTGGCCAAGCACTACGTTAGTGCTCTTTCATCCCTAACCCGAACCCTAATTCATTTTTTATATGAATTACCCTTTCTTCATTTTTCACATTATGGAGTTTGAATTATTGCATTGGCCCCAACTCCATGGGCTGTTCTCTAGAGAGACTCTAAATTGTGTTAAGAGTAATGTGATTCTGTGATATCCTTTTACTGGAAAATGCTTGACATGTCAACAAAACACTAAAGTATCTTTGATAAGGCAGCACTTAGAGAATAGCTCCACTGCTGTATTTTCTGACAAACTATATTTTAGTCTTGATAATATTATTTTTATATGAAGGCTCTTTGATTAAACCTCTTTTGCTCTAAAATGTTCTAGCTCGTTGATGGCTGCCATTACGTGTGTTGTGGGATTGCATTATGGACATATTATTGTGCATTTTAAGGTACAACGCGTTTGTCGCTTTTATTTAGCATGCTTTTGCAGCCTAAATGAATTGATCTATTTTCCCCTTAATTATATTTGTGTTTGAAAATTGTTTAGCATGCATGCATATATTGCTTAGATTTGAAAATTAAGATGGGTAAACCTCAAGGATGGTATACATAATACTCGGTAACTATTTGTTCCCTCCAAAGTCATTTGACTCAAACAATATGTTTTTATTTTAATTTTTTTAAAGTGATATAAATATTTTGGCACCGGTGTTTATAGTAGCGAAAAGATTGGGTAGGGAAAAACCCTTTTCTCTATTGTTCCTTGTATTTAAACCTTTATTGTGTTCTTTGTTTGATATGCTTGTTTTTGTTTTATTCTTGCATGTAATTAATGTTGGTTTCTGTTGCAGGCCGCCACCTTGAGTTGCAAATATGGCGGATGGATCACAGCATCCATCAATTTCCCAGAAGGTACATTGGCAATCTTATTTCTTATCTCGAATTTCTCCTAACTTGCGCTCCAGGAATACTGGTTTACACAATATGACTGGTGCATATGTAAATGGAGGTCTGCAGAGTCCTCTGCCACCAACATTCCAAGGCACTGGCCTGGAATTTGCATCACCACTATCCTCTGTTTTTGTACAAGCTCCCGCAGAAAAAGGTTTTCGTAGTTTTATGATAGACTTCCTCATGGGAGGAGTTTCTGCTGCTGTATCCAAGACTGCTGCTGCTCCGTCACATGATGGGACAACCCCATGTGAGTGTGTGGTCTGCAGAACTAACAATTGCATAATAATTAGTGTATATATATGTGTTTGCTAACAAAGGGATGGATTGACATCCTGAAATTTGAAAGGAAGTGATGTCTAATCTGGATTTGATTTAGGTCCTCCAAACAGCTTCATCCTGTCAGTTTTGGAAGTTTGAATTAAAAATGCTGGCTTGTCGATGTGATTCATTAAGTTTCCGTTTTGATTTATCATTTGTTGACAACCATGTCTTGTTTTATAGAATGTCTCACAGAATTTGCAATTTCATCAATCCTTTTCAGGCCCTGAACTTTGCTTTCAAAGATTATTTCAAGAGGCTGTTTAATTTCAAGAGAGACAAGGATGGTTACTGGAAGTGGTTTGCCGGGAATTTGGCGTCAGGTGCTGCTGCTGGTGCTTCATCTTCTCTTTTTGTTTATTCCCTAGATTATGCTCGAACACGTTTGGCTAATGATGCTACAGCTGCTAAGAATGGTGGTGGAAGGCAGTTTAATGGTTTAATTGATGTTTGCAGCCTCATAACTAATCCCATTATTGGATGATTTCCAAAATTTGTCTGGTTTATTATTTCAAATATTTTTTTGTTGGAGCACGTAATGTTATTATAGACCTTTTCACATATCACTAGATACTGGCTTGGTCTCAAATCAATTCTTTTGTTATTTTTCTGCCTTTTTGTTTTGACAAATGTTCATTTGAATGGAAATAGGAGTTATTGTTTCATATTAGTGCTACTTTGCAATTTTATTACAAGTAATAATTTAAAAAAAAAAAATAAAGATGTAATGGCATTTCTCAGAACCTCACTATATAGGTTTTTAAAAATTAAGAAAGCTATAATGATGTTTTTGAAATGTCGCTAAAAGTTGTCAGGACATCACTTTGCAGTTGAGTATCACATTTAGAGGCGTTTTAAAAAACACCGCCTATAACAAATTAACGACGTTTCTAAAGCGTCGCTAAAAATTGTCATGACGTCACTTTGCCTTATGTACCACATTTAGCGGCGTTTTTTAAAACGCCGCCTATAACAAATTAACGACATTTTTAAAGCGCCACAATGCTATAGCGACGGCCGCGTCCTCGGCGTTTGGTGCAAAACGTCACAAAAAGAATTAGTGGCGTTTTTGGCACTTATCGCGGCGTTTTTTAAACGCCGCTAAAAGCTAAATTTCCTGCAGTGATTCCATATTCTTAAAACATATACAATGTTTATATCGAACTCATGTTTCCAAATTCCCATAACATATATTATGTTTTCACAATTTAAAACATATATAATGTTATTACATTTCATTAACATAATCAAAATCTCAATACGTGCTCAGGCACCAACAAACAAGTCCTGATATTTATCTCGGACTTCCAATTTATGACTTCCTCGATTCCGTGATGTTTCCACAATACTTTTACTAAAGGAATTGTCTTGCCTCACAAGACTTGGTCCTAGGTATCCAAGACTCTCACCGGTCTCTCCTCATACGAGGCATCCTCACCTACCTCTAAGTCGGTCCAATCCAACATGTGCGATGGATTTGACTCATTCTTCCGAAGCATGCTAATATGAAACACATCATGAACCTCGGAAAGCTGTGACGGCAATGCCAAACGGTAAGTTACCTCTCCAACCCACTCACCGATCTCAAATGGACTAATAAATCGAGGGGACAACTTCCCACTCTTCCCAAACCTCATCAAACCCCGTTTAGGTGATATCTTCAAAAAGACATGATCTCCCCCCTCAAAAGACAAAGGTTTTCTCCTACGGTCTGTATAACTTTTCTGACGACTCTGAGTCGTAACTAACCACTTACAGATAAGTGCCACTTTCTCTATCGTTTCCCGAACCAACTCTAGACTCAACAAAGGTGCATCACCAGCCTCGGCCCAACACATAGGGGACCTACAAGGTCGGCCATACAAGGCCTCAAATGGTGCCATGCCAATACTCGATTGGAAGCTATTGTTATAAGCAAACTGCACTAAGGGCAGGTGCTTCTCCCACGACCCCTTGAAGTTAAGGACACAACCTCGAAGCATATTCTCAAGGACATGAATAGTACGCTCGGACTGCTCGTCAGTTTGAGAATGATACGCGGTGCTAAAGGTCAATCTAGTGCCCAAGGCACTCTGTAAGCTCTGCTACAACCGAGCTGTAAAACGCGGATCTCTATCCAATATAATCGTTACTGGGACCCCATGCAACCTTACTATGTCACGAATATACAAGTCGGCAAGGGAATCCACTGAGTCACTCACACGCATAGGTATAAAGTGCGCCAACGTGGTCAACCGGTCAACTACCACCCAAATGGCGTCACTACCCCATTGAGTTCTAGGAAAACCCACAACAAAATCCATCGTAACATGCTCCCACTTCTACTCGGCTATAGGCAAGGGTTGCAACAAACCCGCTAGTCTCTGATGGTCGGCCTTCACTTGCTGACAAGTAAGGCATTTTGACACAAACACGGTCACATCCCTCTTCATACCTCTTTACCACAACTGGCGACTCAGGTCATGATACATCTTTGTGCCTTCTGAATGCACCACAAGGCGCGAATGGTGAAACTCTCATAGTACTTCCTCTCGGCAAGACTCCGGCACGAACAAACAATCTCGGTATCTCACACTCTAGTTAGGATACACATTCAAGCCCTTCTCTACCTTCCTATTGGAAATCTTCCCCTAGAGAGATACCACCTCAAGGTTACCCTCTGTGCTTCTATCACTCGATTCACAAGTGTAGGTTGTGCAACTATCGTGAACAAGGCTGCTGACTCAATGGACTCGCCAAGATACAAGTCAAACTCCCCAAGAGCACCCAACATTTCCCATTCCCGGGTGGCAATGCAGGCTATGCTGCTAATAGGTTTCCTATTCAATGCATCGGCCACGACATTTACCTTTCCCGGGTGATAATACAACTCAAAATCATAATCATCTGTGAACTCCATCCACCTCCTCCGCCTCAAATTCTAGTCTTTTTATGTAAATAGATATTTTATGCTCTTGTGATCAGAAAAAACCTCAAACCTCTCACCATAGAGATAGTGCCTCCAAATTTTCAAGGCAAAAATCACTGCTGCTAACTCTAGGTCGTGAGTAGGGTAGTTCTTCTCGTGTGTTTTTAACTGCCGTGAGCTGTAAGCTACTACCTTTCCCTCTTGCATTAAAACACAACCCAAACCTTCCCATGAAGCATCACAATATGCTGAATAACCCAAACCCTTCTCTGGAATAATCAAAACTGGAGTGGTAATCAGTCTAACTTTAAGTTCTTGGAATGATTTCTTCCAAGTCTAATCCTACATAAATTTGACTTCCTTCCTCGTCAACCTAGTCAAAGGTGAAGCTAGCTTAGAGAAATCTTTCACAAATCTACGATAATACCTGGCTAACCCCAAGAAAATGTAGATCTCAAAAGTATTCTTATGTTGTTCCCAATCTTGAACTGCCTCTATCTTGGATGAGTCTACAGTCACCCCTTCCCTGGATACCACATGGCCTAAGAACTTAACCTCTTTCAGCTAGAACTCACATTTCCCAAACTTAGCATACAGCTTATGGGCCTAAGTAACTTAAGTACCACTCTCAAGTGTTCTTCGTGTTCCTCCTCAGATGGTGCGTAGATCAGGATGTTGTCCACAAAAACAACCACAAAGCGATCTAGAAACTCACGGAAGATCCGATTCATCAAATCCATAAATACAGCTAGTGCATTGGTTAGTCCAAAAGGCATCACTAGAAACTCGTAATGGCTATACCACATACGGAATGCCATCTTCGGGATATCCTCCTCTCTTACCCTCAACTGATGATAACCCAACATCTATACAAGGCATTGGGTACTTGTTCTTAATAGTTACCCGGTTCAACTTTCAATAATCAACACAAAGTCGCAACATTCCATCTTTCTTTTTAGAAAAGAGAGCTGGTGCTCCCCAAGGCGAAGTGCTAGGGCGGATCAAACCCTTATCTAATAATTCTTGGAGTTGAACGTTCAACTCACTTAACTCAGCAGGTGCAAACTGATACGGTGCCATAGAAATTGGTGCCGTGCCAGGCACTAGATCAGTAGAGAACTCAATCTCTCGGTGAGATGGTAAACTAGTAAGATCCTTGGAAAAGACATCTGGGTATTCGCAAACTACCCTCGGTAGCTCAACCTGGGCTTCATCACACTCATTACTTACGAAGCTAGCAAGAAGACAACTAAGTTCACTTCGCCCATGCAGATCATACACTGGTGATAAAACTCTACCAACCCAATCTCCCAAGAAATGAAAACATTTCTCGTTTAAGGTACATACAGTAACTCTCTGACGATAGCAATCTATAATAGCCCGGTATGAAGACAACCAGTCCATATCCAACATAACATCAAAACAAGACATATCCATCAATAAAAAATGAAAAGGTGACACCACACAAATAGCAGATGCTAACTGAGCCAACTCTAACCCCAAAACCGATGTAAATGCAGGCGAGATAAATAAATGGGATGCACCCAGATCAATCAATACATTAGTAACTGAATTGCAAAACCAGAAGGCACCTCTCACTACAGAAGGAGGCTCCAACAAGATTTGGCGCGGTAACAGCATACACACTCCCGATAGGTCTCTGCTCAACCTGTTCACCTTTCGGAGCATATGCCTGGTGCACTGACTAAGTCGAAGAGGCTTCTTGATTGGCCCTCAAGGCCTGTGTTGACTGTGTAGGCTAATGGCTCTATGTCTACCTCAAACCAAACGCACCAAATGTGCCACCCAACTATGGGGAAAATCTCTTCATGTGCCCCGCCTGCCCACACTGATAACAAGTGAGTGGCTGGCCTCTTCCCTGACTAAACCCCTGAGAATGAGCCGAAGACAATGCTGCTCGTTGCCCTCATCCTCTCTGAGGGCAAGCTGAAGACTTGTGGCCCAATTGACCACATTTGAAACAAGTAAAATCTCCCTGAACACCCCTCTCAAAACTCGAACTCGGCATTGGAAAAGTGGACCTCGACTGAGTTCCTTGGGACGGCTGAGGGTTAGAACCCCTTTGCCTCTTGCTATCCCCCTGATTATCTTTACTCCTGCTGGAGCCCCTCATCATTTCCTCCTCCGTCTGCATGATAGTCTCAAGATGGGTTGTAGCCTCCACAAGGCGCCCATAGTCTCTAATCATGGATCCAGCCACTCTTAACATGAGCTCGGTCCTCAACCACTTCTCGAACTCCAGACAACGGTGTTCCTCAGTCGCCACAAGTTCCGGTGCAAACCTTAACAAACTAGTGAACGTGGCCTCAAAGTCAGCCGCTGGTGTATTCAGCTGCACCAACTTAGAGAACTGGTCTCTTAACTTCTCCCTAATAGTGGGAGGCAAGAACTTGTCCTAGAATGCGTCGACAAAAGCCACCCAACTCCCTCCAATGCGTCATCGCGCATATTTCCACCATTGATCCGCATCTCCCTTCAGTTGGAAGGACGCCAAGGTCACTCTCAAATCCCCGTCTTCGATGCCGAGCATATCAAACGTCTTTACCATCTGCTCTAGCCACTCATCTGCC